TGACTGACTTTTTTCGCTTAGCATAATGCTTTCAAGGTTCATCCATGTGGCACGCATCAGAACTTCACTTCTTTTTACGGCTGTGTAGCTGGTGTTCTTTTTAAATATATATATATATTTAACGTTTAGATGTTATCCTATTGTGTTTTTGGTGAAAGTTTACACAGTAAATGAGACTCCCATTTAACAATTACAGCAGAAATTGTTCAGAAGACGTTGGTTAAATTTTTTCAATGTGTCAACATTCTCATTAGTTCTTTTCTGGTTTTTCCGCTTCCAGTAATCTGGTTTCCCTGTCCCCAAACCGTTTCATCTTTGCTTTAGAGAGTTGACCCTTTGCTCTCATATAAAATTTTTTTTAGATGAGTTTTTAAAGATACGCGGTACTCACTGGTAATATTCTTTAGTTTATGAGCCAATCTGTTATTTAGCTTAAAGGTGATCTCGGGGTAGTTTTGGTTCAAGGTTCATGGAACATCTCAGGACGATAGTCTCAGGGAGTCCTCTAAGATGTTATGTTGTTTTTACTTAAAATTTTTTTGAATAGGCAATACGTCCTTATAAAGTAGGTACTGTTATCAAATCCGTTGTACAGGTAAGAAAACTGAGGAGTAGAGAGCTTAAGAAATCTTGTCCAAATTCATTCCCTAGTTGAATACCTGGGATTTGAACCCTGGACAATCTGACTAAAGCCCTACTACAGTGTACTCACTGACTTCAGGTGGGCACGGGGCAGGTTTTTAGGCTGTTTTTACCATTGGGACTGTCTTCAGATCTTAGGCTTTCTCACTAAACCCTCACAACCTCTGGGGGTGGTGTCATTCCCAGACCTTTACCTTAGATGTCCGAGTATTCTTCCTCTCTTTTCCTGTTTAGTTATTCAGGGCATCGTTGACTTTTTGGTTGAGGACCTGCATCAGTTTCCCAGGGCTGCCATAATGAAGTACTACATACTGGGTGGCTTAAAACAACAAACATTTTTTCTCTCACAGTTTTGAGGCTAGAGGTCTGAGATCCAGGTATCAGCAGGGCCGTCCTCCGTCTGAAGGCTCTAGGGAAGATCCTTCCTTACCTCTTCCAACTTCTGGTGGTTCCTGGCAGTCCTTGGCATTCCTTGGCTTGTGGAAACATCACTCCAGTCTCTGCCCCTGTCTTCACATGGCCTCCTCCCCTCTGTGTCTTTGTCTCTTCTCCTCTTTTTGTAAGGACACCACTTACAGTGCATTATGGCTCACCCTGCCCCAGTATGACCTCGTGTTAACTGATAACATCTTCAAAGTCCCCATTTCCAAACAAGGTTACATTCACAGGTACTGATAGCTAGGACTTCAACATATCTTTTTGGGGGACACAATTCAACCCAGAGCAGACCTTGTTTTACCTGTGATTTGTTTCCTGTCAGTTTTTAAATAGTAACAACTATTTTGGGGTCTAGGGTTTGGAGGGGGAGAG